GCAAAGGGGTTGGTTTTAGGATAGCTAGATTGTGTTTGTGTGTTTGAGAGAGAGAGAAAGAGAGAGAGAGAGAGAAACGGAAACATTGCATGAGATACAGGTGTCTCAGTTCTAAGTCAGTTTCTTATCGGCTTCCTTATCTATAAAGCTAAAGCTAATATTATATGTTTTCTCTGTTTCTTTGTCTGTTCCATTCCTTCGTATTATTTGTCAATGGTTCTATGTATAGAAATCCAGTGACATTCCTTTTCTTTCTCTTGTGAAAAACAGAAGACCGTGACTCTGTGAGCCCACAGTGCAACATTATTGTTGCTTTTTACAATAGCACTGGACATGCAAGATTATCTGTGTGTTTACTTTAATTCATTGAATGTAGTCATATATCTCGAAAGATAATTACGTTCTTAGTTTTCTTTTGAAAATTAAGTACTACTGAAGAAATCGATTGTTTTAATTAGGCGGCACACAGTTTAATTCAATCTAGGGGCGCAGTTCCAATATTGGTTCTTCTTTTTCCCTTGGCACACTGTTCAACTAAATAATACTTTTTTTGAGTATTGTTATTTCCACCCACAATCTTATTTTTTCACCCGTCTTATCTTTCCACCCACCATGTAAATTTGAAACAACACAATCTTATCTTTCCACCCACTATTATTCCTAAAATACCTTTTATTTATTAATTCAAGCAAATTCAATCTCTCTTTGTCCAGCAACAATTCAAAAAGAGGGAAGAACAAATTTATTTACTAAAAAATATATCTCTCTCTCCCCAGCAACAACCAAAAAGAGGGAAGAACAAATTTATTTACCAATTGCCTTACACTAATAATAATTAACAATAATAACTGATATGTCAAATTGCCACATGGACATGAAATGACAAAAAATGAAGGTTAAAATCATGGAGATCCTTTTCATTAAGTCCTTATAAGTCATTTTACAAAGGGGTAAATTTGTCTCTCAAATTTTGATGATAAGGTGGGTGGGAAAAATAGAATAAGGGAGTGGAAATAGAAACACTCTTTATTGTTTCCATCTGCACTCTTTATTTGATTACAATTTAATTATTTTCTAGCTTGGATTAATGCTAATGAGGTGTAGTTAGAAAGGTCCTTAACTTGCAGAGTCGTGCTTTTTGGTTTGAACCTTAATGTGCCTCCTTGTCTCCTTGTCTCCTCCTCATGATGAAGTTTTGTTTTCACAAAGATACTCTCAGAAAATTGCACTCAATCAATTAATTTATTGTTACGAAATGGCATGGTAACAAGTAGAAATAAGATGACACCAAATGGAGGTAAAACTGGCCCAAAACAGATTTCCAGAGCCAGCATCAATTGTTGGATCAGTTGGATAGGCTATACTTGTCCAATGGATCTCAAATTTTGATATGTTGTAGTTAACATCCATTGGAACAAGTTTCATGAAGATCTTCACCTCATCCGAGCACCAGAACATGCTGATCCAAAGCCAAGAAGTTGACCTACGAAAATGAACAAAATCAGAATTTATAACCAATAATGCACTTTTAGCTTATTTTCATTCTAACCAAGGTAAAACTTATGAAAACACAAAAAGGAAGTAAAACGCTATAAAATTTCAAGAACTAACTCAAAATATTAGGTGAATAACATGATAAATCATGTGTAAAAATGAACCCAACAATTGGGCTGGTTCCATTACAGATAGACGCTCTAATTCGGGGTACTTTACATTCGTTGGAGGTAACCTAGTTACTTGACGGAGTAAAAAATAAAATGTGGTTGCTCGGTCTAGTGCAGAAGCAGAGTATCGAGGTATGGCTCGAGGAGTTTGTGAATTATTGTGGATCATATGACTTTTAATAGAATTGAGTTTTAAACCAGAGAAGCCCATACAGTTACATTGTGATAACAAGTCAGCGATCGATATTCCTCATAATCTAGTTCAACATGATCGAACAAAACATGATGAGGTGGATAGTCATTTCATCCAAGACAAAATTGAGAACAAGATCATCTGCCTACCCTTTCTTAAATCAGAAGATTAGTTAGCAGATGTCTTGACAAAAGCTGTCTGTGGATAAGTGTTTTATGACTCACTTACCAAGTTGGGTATGGTGACGTATATGCACCAACTTGAGGAGGAGTATTGACATGAGTTAACCTACTAAATCAAGAAGATTTATTTCCTAAGTTAATTAGGTGATTTACTTCCTTGTTTCATATAGTTGACACATCCTTATATAATTAGGAGATATTCTCCTAATTAATTACTATATATATTTCATTGTAAAGCATCCTTGTAAATTCCTATATATCTCTTTATAAAGAAGATACAATTAACCTAAAGTATTTAAACTAAGTATCATATTTTAGCAATAAAATGACATGATATCCAAAACTCAATGATCCATACAATATGTAGCTATAGCAAAGAGAGTTTTTTCTCTCTAAAAAAGCCACATTTTAATTATATTTTGACCAGATAAAAAAACTAACATAAGCATGTTGTATTTTGTTTTTTTTTTTTTGTTTTTGGGTGAAAAGCATGTTGTATTTCAATAATATGAAAAGCATATGTATTTTTGAGGGGAGACTGTGAATTCAAATTTCATGGAGAACAATTTTTGATAAAAGAAACTCTTAAAAAAGGAGCATGAACCAATTAGAGATAAACCCTGAGAAAAAGAAACAGAGATAAACCCTGCCCGTTGGTTTCAATGAAGGGTGAGGATTATATTTCTTAAACCAAACCAACAGGCCCATACAATTTTTTGATATTATAACCGATTTATAAGGGAGAGAGAAACGTTTGGGTGTTGGTAAGTGTTGTTCTTAGACTTGGAACCCTCGCGAGTCACGACCCAGGCAAGGCAAAAGAGGAAGACCCTCCAACTCTCGTGAATATTCGGCCCACTGTTGCTTCCTAGTCCTCCATTGTTGGTGGAGGAGGCCTCCATTACCATTACCCAGGTATGGCCTAAAGTTAAGGCCTTTTCATTTTCATTATAGAATTTACACTGCAAATTCTTGACATTTGGTGTGTTGGGATTTTACTGGGTGTGATTAGCAGAAGGGATAAACAGGGAAAAAGAAGAAGAAAGCTATGGCCTTTAGGGGTTTTTTTGTATTGGGTGTGGTTAGCAGAAGGATAAACAGGGGAAAAGAAAGAGTTTGTAGGTTTTAGTACAATTTGATACAATGGATAGGAAAGAGCAAAATTTGGTTATATATTTTCATCGCCCTCTATGATTTCCAACAAACCCAATTGTTCATCGTCCTGCTCTTAAAGAAGAAATTTGTATAATGGGGGGAACCTTTGTTTTGTATGAATTCCATTATTTGCTTGACATTTATCATTGTTGTACAGAAAATGTCAGTCGTTACTGATAAAAGGCTCAGGAGAGGAAGCCCGCCATGGTCTGATCTTCCACATGACATATTGTGTTGCATAATGGGGCACCTTTGCTATGTGGACCAAATTCAATTTCGTGCTGTTTGCAAGAATTTTGGACTGGTTGCTGGTATTAGGCCTAAAGATAAACTGCCCTGGGTTCTAACATTAAACTTCAGTTTTAAAAATGATATGTACCCATCTAGCCTCTATGATCCATGTACCCTTGAAGCATATAAGCTTGATCATGAACTAACATCTTCTAGCTGGACTGGGGTTGTCAAACTACAAGTTTGCGGTGCAAGAAATGGTTGGTTGCTTCTAGCTGAAATTACACCATTTTTTTTCTTTGGTCACACTGATTTTTACCTCTACAATCCTTTCACTGATGATGCGAGTATCAATTTGCCCCGTTTAAGAACCAAGGAATTTAAAGCCACTTTCACCTCCAATCTGACGTCCCCAGATTGTTTGTTTTTTGCCATACATGCTGATGAGGAAAGGGAAAAGGTAATGTGCATAAGCACCTGCAGCCTTGGTGATAGAAAATGGACTGAGTCTCTAGCTGTTGAAGGTAATTTGAAGCAAGTAATTGGTGTGGTCTATATCAAGGGCATCTTTTATTGTATTTTCAAAACTGGAATGCTAGGTTCCTTCAACCCTGCTACCAAAAAGTGGAGTCTGCTTATTTCAGAAAACACGAATTCATCGGAGTTACGAAGCCTTGCAGACTCATTTGAAGCTAGATTTGTTGAGTCCGATGGAGAGGTGTTACTGGTATACTCTAAGCGGAGCTATAAGCCTTGGCACATTTTCAGGCTAGACTGGTTGCAAATGACATGGGTGAAGGAAGTTAGCTTGGGTAACAGAGTATTATTCCTTGGTGATATCTCATTCTTGATTTCTGCAGATGGGGAAATAAAGGATTTGTCTGATCGTATCTATTACCATGGATTTAGGAGATCGTACTTCTATCCGATCAAGTCTGGGATTGGCCAAATCCGCAGCCATTCGTTAATACGCCAGTCCTGCAAACATTACGAGGACCGCAGCCCTCATATGCTCAGAGTTTGGATTGAACCACCAACTCTGTTATGATATGTGCTACAAGCGTCAATGAAGTGCCGCAGAATTAGAATGAACCTTATCTTTTGAATTTTATGTTAAATCTTAAATGTTGGTTTGAGTGTGACAAATTCATTTTGTTTTTTAATTATTGCTTGTTTATGTCGATGATCAATCTTGTTTTCGAGGTTTATATTTTTGGCCAGGTATGATTTTTTTTTGGTGGGGTAGGAGGAATAATTTTTTGGTTTTCATTTATTTTTTATTTTAAAAGACAATTTTTAGAATATCTATTAAAGGATTTTTTTATTTTAATGTGACACCCACATTAGCGAAACTGACGTCAGCACATTGACGGAAATTATAACAGAGTATGCATCCATAATTAATGCCACCTATTGTGAGTTTATACACTTTTAAATCCAAAATTTTAATTCAAGATTTCTTTTTTGGTAAACAAAAAATTTACTTCAAGACCCAAAGAAATAATACAGTAGCACTAATATTGTCCAGCCCAATACTCAAATTGGTCCAAGTCATGTGCGTAGCCCACTACTCAGTAAATAGGAGGTAAGCTCGCTCGCGCTCTCTCGCTCTCTCTCGCTCTCACACTTCAACTCTCGTTCAAGAATAAAAAATTCGGCGACCATTCTTCTTCTCTCAGGTAGTTTCTTTAACAAATTGCTCGTCAGTTTTCGTTTGCAATTCTTTCCCCTTTCTCTTCCATCAGTCCTTTGCGTGATTTCAAGTTAAAAATCTTCTCCTAACCTAATTGATTGCCTTTACCTGGATGCTTGGTTGCAGATCAAACTCACTCGCATTTCAATCGAAGTTCGTTTTCTCTTTCTTTGAATTTTTCTGAGGCTGAGGGAATGATTATCGAGTATGTGTTAGGTTTTTGTGCAAAGAAGCTTTGTCTACTTTGCGCAAGAGCAAGAGCATTAATTTCACCGTTTTTGTCTTCTCTCTATTCTCGGTGCCCTAGGCTTGGCCAGGTATGATTTTATATGATTAAATTTGTTGGATTTCTCATTTCACACTGTTCTTAAAAGTTTGCATTGATTACAGCATTGTGGGTTTTAGATTGCAAGGATGAAAATGAATTTAATGAACCGAAAAAGGAAAAGAATCTTTAAAGAAAATTTTAATTAGAGGTTGGGAGTTGAGACTGGATTGGCTGTATTGAATTTCCTTGTGCTGTCTTTGGTATGCATTTTGGTTCTGTATTATTAAGTATATATTTATAAGCCTTATTTCTGGATTTCATTTCTTGTAGACTGATCAGCCTAGATGGGATGACTTACCTATGGACTGTTTGGTGAATGTGTTGGAAAAAGTTGGTATGAGGTCCTTGCTCTTGGATGCCCCTTTTGTGTGCAAGTCATGGTACAGGGCGAGCCTCCACCCTTTATGCTGGCAACGTCTCATTTTTATTGACACTGAAACTAAGATGGACCTTGAAACTCATCGACTTTGGCGTTATCACAGTGAAATTGAAGCTGAGATTGACATTCAATCTGATCGTCGCTGTTTCGAATCCTTGATGAGTCGATTTGTATCTCAATATCAAATTGATGATAGTTGTTTCTCTGATACTGCATTTATAACGTCTATAGTCAATCGCAGCAGAGGACATGCAACTTTCCTGAGGCTACCTGGATTCTGTCCTGAAGCAGCATTGAAATATGTTGGGGATTTGTAAGTTTTCTCAAACTCATAGGTGGAGAGAAAAGACTCTTTGGTTAAGCTGTATTTTCTATGACATGCACTTTGATATTAAAACCTTTGTATTGTCACCTGAAAAATGAGTCTTGGTAAACTTTTATTTGCAGATGTCATGAACTTAAGGGTTTGTCTTTGCCCAGACGTTTACTGCTTTGTTCATCAAGCATCGTAAAAGAACTTATTGGAAAGTGCAAACATTTGGAGTTGTTGTCACTGGGGGGTAGCCATAATTTGGAGGAGATTCTTTTACAGTTCAGCATGGGGTGTGGCAGGAATTTTCTAAACATAAATGTGCCAGCTGTTTTAATGAATAGACAAGGGGCAATGAAGATTCCCTATTTGATCCCTAATATTAGCGTCCTAGGCAGCTATAATTTGGAGGAAATCCTTGCACAGATCCGCATTCACTGCAAGAACTTTTGTCGTTTAAATATGTCGGGTGCTTTAATCAAAAGAGAAGATGTGATGGCAATTGTCAACTTGCTTCCTCATGTTAAGTACCTAATCCTGAGGAAGGCATACATTGATCGGGATGATCTTCTCACATTACTGCGAGGCTGCACAGAACTTGTGCTTTTGGATGCAAGGGATTGCTTTGGTTTTGACGAAGGTGATGTTGAAATATCAGTGCTTGCTTCTCATATTGGTAAGTTCAGCTGTGAGGGTTCTAAGTGTGTTGATGACCCTCTTTTGTGGTTGCGTACTCACATAAGTATTTAGACATTAATGTGAGTGTTTGCTTTTCAAGCAAAGCAAAGCATAGTCTTAGCTTAGGTGTTTCTTGTCCAGTTCTCTGTTAATGGAGTTTGATATTTCAAACCCCCGTTCCGTGACCAACGAAGTGATTAACGGTTGAGAATTGTTTCCATCAGAAAGTGACAGTTGAGAATTCTAAATCTGGTGAGATTACATTCAGGTATGTTTGGAGGGTTTATGTAATAGGATCCAGACTTGACCTTTGGTTTGTGGAATTGTCTAATATAGTAGATCTTATTGTCTGATGGTCTCTTCTTTTATCTTAGTTTGAATAGTGCAGCTCAAATTGTATTAAAAGTATATGATTTTGGATATAATTCCAACTCTTTTAAAATTGAGAGTTCTTGTGTACAATGACTTCCCCACAAAAGGGATTGGACTTAATTCCAACTCTTTTAAGCGCGTTTATCAAACAGTCCATGTCTAACTCCTCCAGTGACCCATCTTTGTTCATCCTCATCATCGGTCTACAAGAAATGCAAACACTTGAAACAAAGTTATATCACGTCGTCAACTTCTCTTTACTTCTTGTTATTTCAATTTTGACAATTATCTAGTTTTGGTAATTAAGTCCGATAATCTAACATTGTGAAGAAAAATAAACGGAATGCTCATGTGTCGTAGTTGCATATTGCCACGTCAACTTTTTTTATTAATTTGACAGAAATTAAAATGTGTAAGATTAAAATGAACTTACACAAATTAAAATGACATGGGTGAAAACGGAAAGTTTATCTCAAGTTCATCAAAAATGAATATCTGTGTAAACTCTCCATAATTGAATTGTATGTCGGAGGACGGAATAGTTTATCAATATAAAATCCAAGTGGAAATTCTTACTCTTTTACGATTTGACAGGTGGCACAACCTTATTGGAGTATAACTGGACAGGGGTTTCCTGACCTGGCATTCCCGGAAAGTTTGATAAGGAGTCATATACTTGAAGTCGTACGCATTCAGGTGTCGAGTTCAGTCCCCCTTGGGTCCTTCTCTGCTGTTCGTTGCAGATGAAACTCAAGCACTCAACTCAATCAAAAGGTTTGCTTACTCTTTCTTGGAAAGAATTTTCTTAATTGATGATTCTACTTGTCTCGCTCTAGGTCTGGTTCTGGGTCTTTTGATTTCCACCTAAAAACCCATTTCAATTTCAATCGCTTCATTTCTTCTTGATTTTGTGATTTCTTTTTTCTTCTGCTAGGACTATAAGAGGAAGATTTTCGTTCTGTGTCCCCAAACCACTCCAATGGCGAATCCCGACCTGCCCCAACCCAAGAAGCTTCGTCAGGTATGAATTATATATTTCTTTTAACACTCTACTCTAGTAGTAATCAGCCGTGCCTATATTAAAATATTCAAGGTTTAATCATTGTTTAATGATTAAAGTTCCTGAATTGCTGAAATTATTGGTTTCAGTTCGTGGTGGGTTTGAGATTTCAAGAATGAAAATGAATATAATGAAAATAATAATTACTTTGAATATAATTAGATTTTGGGATTTGATTGGATTTGTTGAATTTCGTTGTAGGTCTTTGGTATGCATTTTGTTTATGTGTTATATTTTAGCATATCTACAACTACTACTATGGATTTTCGATTCTTGTAGACGGGTCAATTTCAACCAAGATGGGAAGACCTAAACGTAGACTGTTTGGCAAATGTGTTCGGAAGAGTTGGTATCACGGCATTGCTCTTGAGTGTCCCTTTCGTGTGTAAGTCTTGGTACAGAGCAAGCCTCGACTCTGCATGTTGGCAACGTCTCATTTTGCCTGATGTTGATACTGAGATTGACCTTGGAAATGAAGGATTTTGGAATTCTGACAATGAAATTGAAGCTGTGATTGACAGAAGACCAGAGATTTTCCGTTTCGATACCTTGATGTCCAGATTTGAACAGGAATATCAAACTGGTCATAAATGCCTTTCTGATACTCAATTCATAACGTTTGTAGTCAAACGTAGCAGAGGACAGGCTATTTTCCTCAGGCTACCTCCACTCTGTCAAATCACATTATTGAATCGTGTTGCAGATGTGTAAGTTTCCTCAATCAAAACTATCAATGTGGTCCTATCTCTATAGATTGAGAGAAGTAGACTCTTTGGTTAAGCTTTATTTTCTGTGATATGTGTTCTAACATCTAAAAGTACAAAAGTTAATTTGTTGTGAGTTATGTGCATTAAATTTGTGGTTCAACTTTCTCTTTAAACTATTTATTCTTTTTTTCTTCTTCTTCTCCAGGGTTCCTAGCTTATAAGTATTGTATTTATGTTTTAACGTTGTTTATGCCTGAGTCATTTTCAGCTTTCTGTTTTAACCTTTTGGATCCATGTCTGCTCTCTTGTTCTTCTGTCTCATCACCTTCTTCTCTAAATCTCTTTAGATTTCTAAGTTCTCTGAACTGTGCTACATCAAGTTTGTACTCACCCCAAAGACGAGTCATGGTAACTTTTGTTTGCAGGTGTCATGGACTGAAGGGTTTGTCTTTGCACCGCTGTTCACTGATCTATTCATCAAGCATTATCCTAGAGCTGATTGGAAAGTGTAAACATTTGGAGCTGTTGTCATTGAGGGGGGGCAGTAATAATTTGGAGGAACTCCTTTTACAGATCAGCATTCACTGTAAAAAATTTTGTCGTTTACTTGTGTTGAATACTGTAATTGGTAGAGAAGATGCATTGGCAATTGTTAACTTGGTTCCTAATATTAAGTACTTGAGCTTGAGGAAGTCATACATACATCGGGATAATCTTATCACATTATTCCGGGGCTGCAAAGAACTTGTGCTTTTGGATGCTAGGGATTGCTCTGGTTTTGATGGCGGTGATGTTGAAATATTAGCGCTTGCTTCTCAAATTGATAAGTTCAGCTGTGAGGGTTCTAGAAATGGTGACTGGAATTCATGATGCTCTTTCTTGGAAATGTGTTTGGAAGAGTTGGTATGACGTCATTGCCGTTGAATGTTCCTTTCGTGTGCAAGTCTTGGTACAGTACAGAGCAAGCCTAAACTCTGCATGCTGGCAACGTCTCGTTTTCCCTGAGGTTGATATTGAGATTGACATTGACACTCAGGCTGGGGTTCTGACGATGAATCTAAAGCTTAGATTGACAGGGGAACTGATCGTTGCTGTTTTGAAACCTTTATGAATAGATTTGTATGTGAATATCGAATCCATGATAGTTGTTTTTCTGGCACTCGATGTATAAAGTTTGTAGTCAATCGTATCAGAGGACATGCCACTTTCTCAGGCTACCCGGAGTATGCCCAGAAGAAGCATCAATGTTTGAGAGTAACTATCATGGTCACCGGGTGAAGTTATTTTTGGTATTGGTAAGTCTTGATGAGTGTTTAATTAACTGCAGTTTCAAAACTGAGATTGAACTACTGAACTTTCCATGCCATGTCCAAATTTTCACTGATGACATATTACTACAGAACATAAGTCACACGTGTTTAACGTCCACTGCAAGATTTTTTGTGGTTTACACGTGTTCAGTGCTTGTATTGCATTAATAAAGAGAAGGCATTGGCAATTGTCAACCTGGTTCCGTTGTTTATTATCATCCTAATTTTTTGTTAATTTTGAGGTGTGTTTTGTACCCAGTTTGATTCACGTAGGAGACAATCTTGAGGTGTGTTTTGCAATCAGCATTAGTCTCATAAATTATTTGTGATACGATACTTACTTCCCTCATTACCCATTAGGAGAAATTCCTCAATGCTTTCTATTATGGTTCAACCACATCTGTTTTTTCGACTGTCAAAGGTAGATTTTCCCTTCACTTTTATTATTGTTAAGGGTTTCAACAAGAATGATAAAAATAAATAAAATAAAAGTTGGCATAAAATTGCTAATCAATCTGGCATGAGTTATAACAAAAGGCCTATCATCAATTTGGTGTAGTTATGTTGGGGAAAAAAATTAATTGGTGCAGCTATGGATTTGCGAGCATTACCACTCAACCTTTATTATTGTTAATTGAACCCATTGCTTTTTATCAAAAAGCAAAAAACCCATAGCTTTCATCTCTTACGAAACTCACATCTCTATAGCTTTCACTTTTATTTGCCTCAACTCACTTTTCTTTTTCTTTTCTTCTTTTTTAAATTTCTTTCCTCAGTCAAAATTTTGAGTCTTTGTGACCCTTTCCAACTTTAATCTAAATAATCCCCCTAAAAACAAAGTTGTCAGAGACAACATTGATATGGAGGTTTTTTTTTTTTTTTTTTTTTTTGGAAAAGCGATATAGGATCAAGTAAATTTTGAGTTGTGGAGACCGTAAACTCCCTACCAAGCATATCTTTTTGTCAGTTGAAGGAAAAATGCACTTTTGACAATTTTTTTTAAAAAAATGACATGTCACTTTATAGTTGAGGCTTGAGCCATAATAAGGCAATAAGTACTTCCTCCTTATGAGCAAGGAGAGAAGCATTGTCCATTTAAAATGAGCTTCGATTTAGGGATCCCTCAAATAAGTTTATGTGAGGGACACCCTTATAGGGTCCACCATACATTGTATTTCATTAATCCAAACTATCTATTTTGTAGATATTCATTCGAAGATCATCTCTACAAAAAATCACTTGAATCTAATATCATTTGACCACTTAATTAAATTATTGAAATTTTAGTACTTTCTTGAAGCACCATGTTAATTGATTTTGTAGGACACCATTAGATGTATAAATGGTTTCCGATTTGTCTTTTTTTTTTTTTTTTTTTTGCAAGGAAGATCTATGAATGAAGACTTAAAAAATATATGGTTTCGATTGTTGGAAAAAAAAAATTTGTAGGGTATCCTAAATGGTGTCCTAAAATAAAATTATTTAAGAGATCCCTCAAATGATGGAGACTGACTATATATATATATATATACCATTATAGAATACTACTTCAGTACGGTCAAGTGGTTCATTTTGTACATTTTTTTTTAAATATAAAAAAAAAATCAAATAGAAACTTCGTTAGATAAACTTCAACGGTACAATCGAAGAAATCAACAAGACATCTAAAATACGAATCCCAATAGGGCAACAAACTAACATGCTAAAAGCAAAATTAAATCGGACAAAACCCGCACTAAAACTCTAGCACACATCACCACAATTAGCCATAAGCCCAAATAAAGCTCACAAACCCAACATAACCAACCATAAAATAACCCATGAGCCTAAACGAATCCTACCACCATTTGAAGAAACATCGTCGTGACCATACCCACCACTGTATCCGTAACAGATCTGGGTAAAATATGCTTTTCAGCAATCTACATGCGCATAAGAGCGAACAAATAAACGAGAACATAAGTGGCGTTAGGGAGCGAGTTTTGGAAGTAGGATTTGATTGAGAACATAGACTAAAAAGGGTGATGGGGAACTTCAATCTAAGTGGATAATTATTGATAATATTCTCTCCAAGGGAATGCCAGCTAGTGTATAATGGGTTTCTTTCTCCAATTACTATCGTAGGGTTTCTTTATAATATTAATGCTAAAAATGGGGATTCTTATAAAATACTGAAATTTGAAAGACCTTCTTGGAGTTGATATTGGCACTCCATAAAACTCAAATTTTCCCTTTAGCAAGTGATTATTTTATTATTATTATTACTATTAGTATTTAGTGATAAAAACAACATTAGAAAGTGACAACTTTAGATTTCTCTAAGGGAAGAGGCAAAAGAGTAGGCAAATCTCATTTGCCTTGCCACATCAGTATTTTCATGCTCCAAGAGAAGAGGCAATAATAGGTAGGCAAAATATACATTGCTTACTTCAAAGTGAATAGGGGCCCAACATATTTTAACTAATTTGCTATTTTTAGGGAGCTTTAGTAATATACCCAAAATAGGACCTGAAATTATAAAAAAAAACCTATATGGAATAGACTTTAGAAACATACCCAAAAACCATTTATTATCTAAAAAATGAGTGTTGAAGTTCCTATAAATTACATCTTTACCATTGATTAACTTAAAACAAGCCCAATATAAAAAACTCAAAAAAAACCCAAAATAAGCCCAGCAAGCCCGAAGTACATTGTTAATACCATGTCATAGAATTGTATTGTTAATACCATGTCATAGAAATACATTGTAAATATCATGTCCTAGAAATACAATGTTAATATCATTTCATAGAAAAACATTGTTAATACCATTTCATACAAAAAACCCAAAAAATCACAGCAAGACATCTGATATCCTTTGCAAAAACCACCTCCAATTATCCATAGTTTCACAAGAAGCAATCGCAAAGACCCTCCACAAGAAGAAAAAAAAGTACACTGTTAATACTATATCATAGAACTATCTTTCTAGTGACAATCATATTATGCATATCATAAACTTCAAGAGCACAGCTATATGAGCAAAATATAGAGCATGTTTTGTTATTGAAAATCTGTTAATACTATGTCATAGAAGTACACTGTTAATACTATGTCACAGAAATTAACACAATTGCAGGGTATGAATAGGTATACTGGACCCCATATATTTTTATTATTATAAAATACATTTTTTTTTGGTGATAAGTGAAATGAGGTAAATGTAAAAGATGAAAATAAATAATATAATATTGCATTGCCCGGTTCATTGGAGTGAGCAATTTTTTTCCAAGAGGCAATTGAATAGGCAACATACCACATCAGTCTATATAGTACACTTTTGCCTACTTCGTTTGCTTATACCCCTGGGGATCCTCTAATTGCTTAGGGGCAAAGCAACCTCTCCTTTTTTTTCCAGACATTGCAAAAAGAAAAGGGCAAAGAAAAAGGAGAAAAAAGATTGGGTTTAGCTCTCTCTCATTAAGAAAAAGTTCATATCACTCTGCTTTTGAAAAAGTTATATAAAGAGGCGAGCATGTCTGTGCTTTATTGCCTCTTATAATCTGGGAGTTCTATTTACACTCCATTTGCATTGCATGTATATATATCTCAACAGAAACTCTTTGATTTAAGGTCATTTTCTTTTCCCATTCTCTTTAATTTTTTTATTTATTTAAAGCAGATTAGCAGTGGTTTGGTCTTTGCATCTATAGCTTTATTAAATTTTAATTTCATTTCTTTCAGATGGATGAAAGAAGATGGGAAGACTTAAACATAGACTGTATGGTGAATATTTTGGGAAGAGTTGGTATGGAGTCACTGCTTTTGGATGTGCATTTTGTTGTGAAAAATGGACAAACACTTTCACTCACTCCCCTAATGATCTTGTTGTTGATGGACTTTGTGACACACACAATGATGGATGAATCACACACACACGCTTGAGACAACAACCAAGCACAAAGTGACACAAGAATTTATAGAGGTTCAGCAATTGCCTACATCCTCTTGGTGATCCCCTTGAGAAATTCACTTCATGAAAGAATAAGTTACAACTTTGGTTTTACACAGAAAAACCCCCTTAGAACTCTATTCTCTCCCCAAGCTCTCTTTTCTCTCACACCCCTTGCTCAACACTTTGATGCACTTGTGAA